AACCTTGGCCCATAAAGGCTTGTTGTTGCTACCTCCCAGTTATTCTCTACCACCCCGCTGTACAAAGGAGAGGCGCCTTCCTTTTCCAAAATGGCGTTTTAGTGACCTCTTCCCGTTCATCTTCACATCCTATTTGGTACTGATCTGTTTATCCGGAACCAGAGACCTAAAACCGTAAAGTCTTTAAGGGTAGTCACTATGTCTAACCGAGCGTCGCATAACTACCAACCCTTCATTGGTTCCGTAAAATGCTTTCAAAGTTGTACTTTTATGTTTGTTGTAACCTTATTAAGTGGCGTCTGCTTGGATTTCGGTTCTATGTTCCCTCGGAATAATTCACAGAGTAGACCATCAACTAGTGGGAAAGATTTAGGCTATGAAGTCATGATATTTTGTATGTGCTATACCAAAACTTCAGCTATGCTTAATCGGCCCTCAATTCTGATGCACTGTAGTTTACGAAGACCTCTAAAACGCAAGTCACCACTCTCGCAAGCAGTTAGACACCTTGATGTCCATAATGCTTGAAATGTAGATGTGGATTCTTTGGCATGGAGAGGTGAATTAAGTCTACATGTCCGCTCACATAGGGCGAAATGTCATCTATCGCTTTGTGGACGAGAGTAAGAGACAAGTAGAAGCATGCAGTTTGCAGGACGGTGATTTACCATGGACTGATATACTTCTTACCAGTGAGCAGTAGACTAAGATCATTCATACTGCTATGACTTAACTTCTTCACTACTTGATCGCCTAGTTCTAAGCATGTGCACTCCACTCCCACATTTTGGTAAAGTGGGTCAAAGAAACGTAGATGACGCAGCAATCTTTGCTGAAAATGCATCAGTACCTCATCAAAAAGGGGACTGAAACAAACCAACCTCTCTCAGGGTTCCAAACTCATGATTGAAACATTACACTGCATGAAAAGTTGGTTGGAAGTCAAGACCGTGGAAGTCAAGGGAAAAACAACTAAAATTCATCAATTTTCAGCCTTGATGCCTAGTGAAGGATGGTCCGGAGGAGGTGCACTACTATTGATGGCGCGTGGAGTGAGAGCCCCCAGGACGTATGAAGATGCTCCACTACCAGAGATCTTAGATGTTCCGCAACTTTGTTTGACCTTTGCTTTATTATAGACCATGCTAAACGCATAAATGGACTAATCAACTTGTTATCTTATATATCGAGCTCGCGTGCTGGATCTTTTACAGTGCACATAAGTATATGATGGGTCGTTTTCAAAAATGCGAGAAAATCATACATGCTTTTGCATTTTTGAAACGACGCCCAGAGAGTGTAGATAAGGAATTGCAAGTTAAAAGACGGACAAATCGTGAAACATTCCCCGACATTGGTTACTCAAGCGTGGTCTGTAAAACATTACAAGCCTACGTGGTAGTGACGTTTCAACAATAAATGCCGTGGCAAAAGGTACTTACCTAAACCCTTCTGCTTGTGGATAGCTGAACCGACATAAAAAGGGTGCGAACGTGTATTTGAATTTGAAGCAATTAGCTCATTATAGCATTAGAGGCGAATGAAAGACAGGGGAGCACGCCAAATGCAACGCGCAAACGATGAGTAATGTAATAACCAGGCGAGCTGCCCAATGTCTGCAGTTTGCAGATCTTAACAGCCACACGACCTCCACCAGTTCGTTCTCAAATTGCAACGACTTTGACACATTAATAAAGCCGCCTTGATCTTTTTACGACCACAAGGGAAGACCTGAATTATCTCACCACAAAATTTTAATGTAACTAGAAAACGAACAAGACACTTATCTGGAAACGCCCTTCAAAGTACGCATCGTCTGTCACAGAATCACATCGACGACGGCAAGTTAATGGCCTCATTGAAGATGCAAGTTTTTAAATTAAAATACAAGTAATCACCACCGAGAGTGACAAAAAAAGCGGCTCCTTAAAGTCTATGCCCCGCGCTTCTAACCACGAACGGCAACCAAGACTCCCGACGTGCTTAAGATGTTCGTTCGACTCCATGGCGTTAACCCATTTCAATAGATTACTTATCCTTTTGACTGTTTACTTATTTAATTTAAGTAAAATCAACAGCCTTATTATTCAAATTTTCCAAAACAATTGAATCCCAGTCTCTACTAATCAGGTTAACGAAAACCCGTGACTGATAAAAAACGGCGAGTTAATAAAATGGGCACTTCGTAGTCAATGTTCACCATACTGCTGCAACATTTCCACAAGAAATGCGAGCTCAACCCCTGTGGTTAACATGGGAATAATTTTGATGGAGAAAATTCTAAGCTTGAGAAATCACTCGCTGTCGAGACCAGGAACGTCTTACTTAGAGTACTCACCACCATCCCTCGATTGATTGAACTCTTCCACATCACCTACTCGACCAACCGGAGACGGACTTGAGTGACAGGCACACTAGAAGCTAACTCTGAATCTACCGATCTTCGTTTGCAGTGGTAAAACAACTCAAGAGAACTGAGCTGAACACATCCTGGCCACGTCATCACATCGCTTCCCTCATCAATACAAAAGAACACTCATCAGTCAGAGAAATCCCAAATCGGTGCGTAGAGATCTAGTATGCACCTATGACCTTGTAGCAGGACATTGTTCAAAACGGCTAACTTACCTTGAGACGACCAGCAACCATACACTTTTGACGATTTGAAAAACCTGGTATGACGAGCACAACACAAATGCAACGCACTCGAATTCGAAGACGAGCTACATATTGTGCAAAAAGCGGAAGCGAACCCGCCGAGCAAAATCGACCGGGTGCCTATTATGCAAGTCACACAGGATATCTAAACACTTAATACACGGTCATCTGAAAATGGCAACTGGCAGGATCAGAGGTTTGAGATAACCTAAGCTGGGTCGGTACAGAAGCTCAATCCGCCCCAAAAGAATACAAAGCAAAGTTAAGAGTACAGACAATAATGGATATAAATCACTATCAGAATGCAAAACAAACGAGTAAGCAACGGAAATCCCGTAGATCTCAGTGTAGAATGGAGAAAATGATAGATACCACTCTTTGATGAAGGACACCTGCAAAGAGCTCTCTACTGGAAGTTAGAAGTGTCACCGAGATTGCTCCGACTTGCATACAGACGAGTCCACTCGCGAGCTAATAAAGATAGACAAAAACATTAGAAAGCAAAGAACCCATTTACCGAATAACTTGAGAAAAGAGTATGACAAACCGATTTTAATAGCTTGTGCCTCGTCTGTTTTCCACTGACTGGCGACGTCATTAGCAAGAGGGTCGTCGGGGTTAGGAGCACTTAGAAGGGCCCGAATCGACAACAGCACCGTCCGAATTTGAAGAGCTGGACTCCATTTGTCTAAAGCAATACAAGCGATATCAATAATTTCAACTAATGAATAACTGACAGTCTTGCCAAATTCAGCTAAAAGGAAACCTCCGTCACCCCCTCCACCGAAATGATAAATCGAAACAAGTTACAACAGGAGAAGTACATAGAGCTCACCTTTCAGAATGTCGAGACAAATTCGACCAAGGTTGTCAATATTTGGGTGGTAAATTTTCGTTATAAAGAGGCATTTGGGTGCTGTCATTGGATAATCCTCTGGAAGAAACAGTTGCAGTTTGAAAAAACCATCTTCGTATGGACAATCCTTCGGACCTTCGACAATGACATGGAAATATCGAGCATTTGCATCATCGATTGCTATCTTGATCCCATCGACAGGTTCCCTTTGGAGTCGTTCTGTTTCCTTGCAGAACATCTTGATAAATTATCCCACTCACCTTCTTAATGCGTGTCGGAAGCTGCCCACTCATGATGCACTGGTATCGACTGGAAGATCCACAAATAGTCCGCCAACTCCCAGTTTGAACTGGTTCTGCGCAAAATTACTAGAATCGAAATCACCTGAAAAACGGGTAAAAATAGAAAGGTTTAACAGCAATTAAGGGTTTTAAAATGTGCAATTGATTAACGAAATTGAGACGGTATATATAAGGAAAAAGCGAGGAGGTCGGATTTAATGCTGATTGTAAGAGATTGGTAAGGTAATCACAACAAAACACGGCCTTCGTTTTGTAAAATTATACATGTATATGCCAGATACTAAAAATGGTGGGCTTTCAAAGCTTTAGATACTCTGCTTTCTGTTTTCCTATTCAATTTGGTGTATTTTCATATTTGGACTTTACGGTTGACGAGGTATTAGTTTATGCTTCAATCTTCATGTTGCACTTTTGCAGTTTTCCTTACAAAACGTTTTCAATATGCTAGTTTGCACACTCTTATAACGCTGTAAAATGATCGTTTTGGAAAAATATTCTTGGTATGCCAACTCGGTTATGCCTGGTTTCTAGGACTTGGTCGAGAAAAATAGGGTTTGGTCGATTTTCGTGCAATTTCATTGCCGGCCTTATTTTCCTCTTTAGCTTTACCTTTGCTGTGATTAGTGACACTGCATATAACCACGTATTGGCGACTACGTATAGCGGTCGTTTTCTTTTTTGAATCATCTTGCTGTTAATGTATGCTATCCATTCGCTGGAGATGTCGGGAACCCGTGCCCTATCTCCCGAACGCCCTTGATTTCAGCACTTACTTTTGAGTGATGGTATAAGTATGAGGATCTCTCAAAAGCTCACTCTATTACCTTTAACTTTTGTATTAATTTTGGACTTGTATATTTATATCCTCAAAATACATCATTGATTTCCGACTTTTGTAAGGTCGTGAGGTCTGTGACGAAATTTTATTCTTTGAGAAATGAAGAGCAGCTGTTGGGTTCACATCCGAACACGCACCCTCTGAAAAGTTGTATAGGCAACTGGTTGGACTTTATGAATGTTTTTTAGGTACTGAGTTTCTTTCCATGCACCAAGGTGCTTTGTTTACTACGGATTATTTTGGTCTCTCAGATTGTTATTGCTGCGTTGAGCGGTCGATTCTCGTTCTTTAATTGCTCCCTGATTCAAGCCCTACTTTATATAGGTATTGAGGGAAGTGCACAAGCTATGGTGCCGCGCCAAATCCTCCGTCTCTGTCGCCCCACACCAATCACTCTACTGTTGCGTCTAGCTTCAACGCCTTCATCTCTCTGGTAGGCTTCATTATTGAGTGACCTTATCTCTTCTAGTCTAGTACCCATTGGTCAAGCTCAGCCCTTGCGCGAATCGTTGTATGAACCGGGTCAGTTGATTCTGCATCGACACTTCGGCTGCCGTGGTGTTATTCTTCAATCTTGGTCCGCTCGTCTCTTCGACAAAAACATCGCTCTGGTCACTGATCAACCCACCAAATCGTAGGTTTCATTTTAGCTGGAGGTTAGTCTAGGCTAGTACTCAAGAAACCCGTCAAACGATTGAGGAGGCGTCAATGCCAACGCCTCCTTCGGAGAGCGGGCGCTCTATGTATGGATACACCATACTGTTAGATAGTCAAGATGCTGGCTTATGTGTGAGTTCGACTTTTTCTAATCTATATGCGCTCTCTTCTCTGTTGTCGCATACTTACAGAACTCCTCTTTGGTTTCGGGCATTTCATTTTTACCGGATGACGAAGGCTTATTCAACACGATCTACATGGTGACTGGTGCGTTCCTGGCCGTACTTATCTTTTATTATAAAGACAAAATTGTTGGTTTTTTGGGAGTTATATAACCTCTTTGGATTCGGCTGCAACGTTATATTTATTCGCAGAGATGTTCTGTATAAAGGTAGAGTTGGTTGTGCAGACTCATTAACTAAGCTTTTGCGTATGCAACTCCGCTCCTCGTGAATGCCATCACTTCGGTCATCGAATGTTTTTCGTTTTGAAATAAGCGTCATTAGGTAACTCTGGGTTCGTTGGCTTAGTATTAAACACTCACTTCGAT